TTGTGCCTTGGGACAAGTACTGACAGTCCGCACTGTGAGCATATTCTTGGGTTCTTGGAGTATACTGGCTCTGTGTCTCAGTCCTCTCTTCCCTCCTCAATTCACAGACTGTCCCTGTCCTGAGCAGGGAGCAAAGGCTAAGGTAGACACAAAATCACCTTGCCTTCCTTTAAAGGGATTTTAGTTTGTTGTGCTCCTCTGTGTTTGCAGTATCACCACATGAGGACCAGGCATCTGGACCAGCTCCCTGGAGCTCAGACTGCTAGGCAGGGAGTATACAAGAACTGGAAAATTCAAATATAAGGCTAAGTTGTAGAGATGTCAGGGGGAGGGTACCCAATAATGAACACAGTGGTAAAAGGAAGCAGTAAGGGAGGGGAGGGAGCGGAGGGCACCCGTGTGGGCTTCATGGGCTCATCTGGAAGCACGTCCTGAGCAAATGAAATTTACACAAAAGTCTACAGAAAGTCCACAACCCCCCCCCAGATACCTAAAGGGCAAGTCTCCCAGGTAGAGGAGGACTCCTCAGGGGAGAAGCTGCTAGACATATTCTACAACTGTGCTGTCCAAGACCTATGAAATGTAAGCCTCAGGCCTGGAGAGGCAGCTCAGAGGTTAAGAGCACTGGCTGCTCTCCCAGAAGACTGCTGTGGTTCCCAGCACCCACATGGGGCTAGCAACCATCCAGTGCCTGGAGATCCAACGCCCTCTTCTGGCATCTGTGGGCATTGCATGACACAGGTGCACTTAAATACATGCAGGTAAAACACTCATATATATAAAATAATAAATACATAAATAAAATGTAAAGAAATGCAACCACTTAAATAATGTCATTAAATCCTCTAGTAACCACATTGAAAAAGAAACAGATGCAATTACTCTTTTTTTTTAATTTTTGACCAGTTATGACTTTCTGAGTTAATCACCATCTGTTACATGAGGAAGCTTTGCTAGTGAGAGTTGAAAGATGTATTAATATTCTGTCTGCCCCCTGTTCTACGAGGTTCCCTGATCCTTACTTGTAGAGGTTCCATTATAGATGTGTCACTTAGAGCTGGGCCTCTCACAGACGTTTATTCTCTGTATTTGACCAGTTGTGAAACTTTGTAATAGTCTCTGTCTGTTGCAAAAAGAAGCTTCTTTGATGCGTGGTGAGAGGTGCACATGTCTATAAATATAAGGATACATATTTAGAATACAGTAAGAAATTGGTCTAGGAATGTGACACATGTAGGGTTTACTCTAGGATCTATGACCTCTCCAGCCATGTGTATTTGACTACATTTACAGTACCACATGTGAATTTCCTCCCATTGAGTAGGCCTTTTGAGTGTCCAATTAGAAAGCTGTTGATTACCCCCAAGATTAAAGTGCCACTACTACACCAGTAGGGATTATTTGCTGGGCTGGTCATTGTTGTGGTTCATGGAATTATTGATTAGTTTTCTCCCTTGGCACTTTGCATAGTATCCTCTGATACCGTGGGTGCTGGTCTTCAAGGAGGATTTATTAATTTTGTTTATGTGTATGAGTATTTGCCTGCATGTATGTATGTACACCACATGTGTGTGTGGTGCCCACAGAGGCCAGAAAAGGGTGTCAGATTCCCTAGCACTGGAGTTACAGGTAGCTGTAAGCTACCATATGGATGCCGGGGACTGAACCTGGGTCCAAATGCTCTTAACCACTGAGCAATCTCTCCAGCCCCATGAAATTACTCTTAATAAGCATATTGTGGAGCTAGAGAGAAGGCTCAGCATTTAAGAGCACTTGTTGCTCTTGCAGAAGACCTACTTCCAGTTCCCAGTAGCCACACAGTGGCTAACTGTCCTGGCTTCAGTTCCATGGGACCCTTCTGGCCCCTGTGGGTATTACATGCACAGGTGCACTTACATGCAGACAAAACACTCAAACACATAGAAATAAGTAAATCCATTTTTTAATGAGCATATTCTATTGGGCTCAGTGTATGCAAAACCTCATCATGTCCGCATGCAACCATTGTGGAAAGTCTGTTCCACGCTGGGTCTTGGAGAGCTGTGTATACTTCATGTTCCTGGTATCTCTTAGGATCAGCCATATCTCAGGTGCTCAGCACAGGAAGTTGAGGAGGCTGTAGCTGATGGTGGTGCAGTTGTAGAAAGAGCAAGAGGCATATGTGCCTGGGGTGGAACTGACAGAGAAACTGAGCCAGAGAGCAGGAAGAAATCCAGGCCAGGGCCAGAGGCATGGTTGGTTTAGGCTGCTGGGTAACAAGTCCAATGGGAGCTATGGGAAGGCTGGAACCTAGGCTGGCTAAGTCTGACTTCTATTTCCAGTGATCTCATGGTTAGGGTTATGGCTGAACGAGAAAGTGCTTACCTAGCATGTGCAAGGTGCTGGAATTCATTCTGTGCTGGGAGGGGAGGGGAAGGGAGGGAAGGGAGGGGAGGAAGAGGAGAGGAGGGGAGGGAAATACAAAGGGAAGAGGAAGGGGAAGGGGAAAAAGCCACACTGCAGCTACTGTGGGACCTGAGAGGTTGGAGGAGCTATGCTCACGAGTGTTCTACAGAACAGAGCTGCAGCGAGGCTCAGAGAGTCCAGTGCTTGACGGGTGAGGCAGGGCCTTGGAAGGGACCACAAATTCCTAAAGGAGTGAAATGAACCAGCAGTGTGATGATTAAAATTGACTGCCAATTTGTCTGGATGAGCAGATGCCTAGGTGTGTGAATCCTACCTCTGGGCAAGTCTGCCAAGGCCTCCTCAGAAATGGATCCTGAGGGCTCTGACCAATGAATGATGGATTCATGTATGACACAATGGCATTATCGGCAGGTGATGAAAGAGCAGAGGGGTTAATCCATAGGTCTGAGCCCTAGTGAGCTAATCATCTCTCATGACTGCACCTACCAGCAAGGGGCCAAGCCTCCAACAATGAGCCGCTGGCACACTTCATATCCATGCCTTAAATGTCCTAACTTGGGGAGAGTGACTGAAGGCCCCTGGAGGAGAATACCCCCATAGCTTGTGGAATGGGCATGGTGCAAGTCAACCTACAATGTCTCAGCAGAGAGCAAAACCCACATCCCCATCAAGGGCTGTGGGCAATCCCAGCAAGCCTGCTGCCCACGTTGCCCACGCTTGCCCTCAGTCTGTACTGAAGGGCACAACTCACCCCCCCAAAGGATGTGAGGGGGAAAGGTGTCAAGATGAGTTGTCTGTCATCTCACTGACCCCAGGGCCCAATTGCAGCCCACAGAGACCTTCAGGGGGGAGTCTGACCAATTCCCCAGTGTCTACTACATAGTCAGTGGGTGTCCACACTCAGATGCACAGTATCAGGAATCTGGTGGCGTTGCCCACAGGCCTGTCCTAGATACTGCAGGGAAGTAAAGGGAGGTGACACAGGCTTCAGGAAAAGCTACAACCTTCCCCTGTGCCGCACTACAAGGGTCCCAGCACTGTTAGCTACAGGACTACCCAGGAGTATGACACACACTTCTGACAGTGACTTGTTCTTCACCCTGCTGTCCTGAAGGTTGGATTATCACACCACAGTGCACAGCTTTGTTCTCACACATGTCAAGGGATATTCCAGATAGGCCCCTTCTCCATGCTCCACTCCTCAGCTGATCTCAAAATCAAGCTGTGCATGTGTAATTCAAGTAATAAGTACTGGTGGCTATGTCTGCCTCCTGCCAAAAATGGGTCTAGATGACAGTGGTGCATTCTGGGTCATCTTTGACTGGTTGCAGTCCATTGGCAAGTGGGCAAGCTGTATAGATTGCTGAGCTGGAGCTGCCCATGGCTGTGGGGTGCTGGGTTGCCTGGCCAGGTGGACTTCATGAGGAGGGAGTGTGGCTGAGCACAGGGCTTCCACAGTGAGCTTTGCCTCCCTTCACTGGGGAGACTGAATCCAGCCCTCCCTTCTGTCCCACTGCCACCTTGAAGAGCTCCCACAAAATGGTCACATCTGCTCCAGTCTGCCCTGGCAGCACCCTGCATCCACTAAAGCCCTCCATGGTCATTTTTACTAGCACACCCTCTCCTGGCTCTTCAGGAGGATATTCTGGCCAACACCTCTGCCATCAAATCCATCCCTCTAGTTCCTTCCAGTGTCCAGACATACACCTCTTCTAGACTTTGACCCAGTCCTTCCACCAGCAGGCTTCCCATCCCCAACACATGCCCCCTGCTTGGAATGACCTTCCCAGGGTCCTTGGAAGCTACATGCCCACTGTCACCCTGGGAATGTCCCTCTAACCTCTGCCAAGGTGGACCTAACTGTCCTTACATCTCCCCAGAGTGCTGCTCACCCTGTGTTCTGCAGGCCTCACTTCGCTTCCCTACCATGTGAGGAGTCGTGCAGCCTTTTTGAGCACCCCAGCTGGGGAACCACTGCTAAGTGTTGACAGAAAGATGGAGTCTAGTTTAGTGACTTCCAGGCTGTAGTGATTCCTCCCACATCTGATAAAGATTCCGGGGGCTAAGGAAAGTCCTACCACCTGCCCGTTCTTGTCTCTCCAATGCTAAGAAGTCAAGCTAATCAACAGAGTGGTGACTCCCACTGGGGAGAAGGGGTACAGGAAGGCCAGAGGCAGGCACACTGAGCCCTGGGCCCACCATCTGGGTGCCAGTCTCACAGAGCAGGACCAATGGGGAGGAGGGTGCAGACCTCAGAAGCTCCCAACCAGGTGCACTGAGTGCATCCCAGCTAGGCATGCTGTGTGCGTCTGGAAACGCGTGCAGGTGGGCTTGGTTGCTATGGTGACTGGGGAGCGTGCTAAACATTCCTGCAATAAGCCTCTCAAAATAATCATCCCAGTCCAGTATCTGCAATGTTTCCACCAAGTAACACAGAAATGAGGTTGCCACACGGTCAGGGGACACGGATGTCACAGCAGCTTCTGCCGAGACGGGAGCTCTGCCCCTTGGTAATCCAGAGGCCGGGTTGTGGAGGTGGTGTGGGGATGCAGCCTGCTCCGGGGCTCATTCCTGTCACGGTTCTCCCCTCACAGGTGGGATCCCGTTCATCCTGACAGGGGAGTGTTTCCAGCAGTCACATCGGCCAGCAGCCTTCATTATCGCAGGCACGGTCAACTGGCTCTCCAACTTCACTGTGGGCCTCCTCTTCCCCTTCATTCAGGTATGCTATGTGTGCGTGATGAGAGGACAGCGGTCTCTCTCCCCCAATACTGTTATCCTCAGGAAGTAAGACTCTGTACTTTGACTAAAGTTCTCCTCCTCCCTCCTGGCCCTCCTCCCTCCTATTCCTTCAAGGAGCTGGCCCTAGATGCTATAGGCTACCTCTTGGGGAGTGAGCTACTCACTACTGAGTGTATGCAGGAAACTCGGATTGAAACTCAAACGTACAATTTTTAGATCACTTTTGCACTGTGCTCACTGCCATGTCTGACAAACCCCATAAAAATTCGTAGTGTGTCCTATTCATATTCCCAGCCTGCTACCTACCTACCGTCCTGGAGAGAGTGATTATTAGGAAAATACCTCCACACTCAGGCATCAGGTGCAAAGTCACTGGCTTACTCATTGATTTAACATGGGTCCAGCAGTGTTTGGGGCAACAGAAGCAGAGTGGGCCTCCTCCTGTGTTCCTTGAGCAGATGTACCTTTAGAGATGTGGTGGTCCCCAGAGGTCTCTCAAAGGAGGTGACGTTGGAGTAGGGGTGTGAGTTAAGTAAGGAGCAGCACAGCCTGAGAAGGGAGAAATCCGATCTAGAGAGACATCAGTGCAAAGGCCCTGATGCAGGCCATGCTTGGCCTAGGTAAGATATAGAGGCCACTACAGCCACAGCAGGGCGAGGCAGGAAGGAGGCAGAGCAGAGTGACCTCACGAAGTTCTCCCTGGGTCAGAACACAGAAGACAAGGCCTTTGCAAGGTTCACACAGAGCAAAGGCCCAGCAACACTTATAGGAAGATGAGACTTCCCTTCCCAGCATCCTTCAGGGTTCCCAGCTGCCCATGACACTGGTGAGTCCACCTGGAGAAGGTGAGACTGTGTCAGGTACCTCTGAGGAGCCCATCTTATCTCAGAGACCATTTTGATATTTTCCTCTCCTGACCTGCTGTTCAAAAGACTGTTCAGTGCCTCTTACTTTGCTTGGGCACAGCCTGCCACTTCCCAGAGACCCTGCTGCCAGCCCAAGGAGCCAGAAGTCAGTGTTACAGGCCCCCAACCCCAGCCCTGTGCACGGTTGCAGACCGGGGGATGGCCACTTCTCTCACAGCTCTAGAGTCGCTCCTCTGGTATGGTCTCTGGGCATGGCCTCTCTGTCACATCACCTCCCACAGCCCTCAGCTGGACTGTCTCCCAGGCCCTTACAGACGAGGTCACCAAGGCCAGGGAGCAGGTGATCGGCACCACCAAGCGCAGCTCCCCTGGCCGCCCCTTTTCTCTGTGCTTGTCTGCTGTGCATTGCAGCATCCTCAGGCCCTCCGCTAGAAACCAGGCATAGCACAGGGCCTTCAAGGCATGTTTGGTTGCATTTAAGTAATAGCCTCCCCTCTTAGAGTGCTCCAAGACCCTCCAAGGGCCACAGTGATGCAGAAGGGCCCAGCTTAGAACTCCCCTCCTCAGGCCCTTGCTGGCTACAGTCAGGACATAAGATATCTTTTCAACTGATTTCAGACTTTCAGTGGGTTTTCCAGTTTGGTTCAAAGATAGCAGGACAAAACCTGGAGTCAGGGAAACATTCATTCCACGGAGAAAATTAACTTGGCGTCACCTATTGGCCCCATCTCCACTCCTTCACAACTGAATGGGGAAATCCAGTCTTCCCTGATCCAGAGCTGCACTCTCCAGATCTGAGAAGCAGACCTGTCTTCTGGGTACATGGTGGGGGGTAAAGCAGAGGACCTTGAAGCCACTCCCAACCCCAGTACATTCTCCCAGGTAGGGGTGAGCAACGTCAACTCACCTCTTTGACACAACAGCCCTGCCAGTGCCAAGAGGTAGAGCCTCCAGCAGGCCCCCTTAGAGTGGAGATGAGCAGAAGTTTACAGAGACCCCCAAGGTCACGGCACTGGGAATGAAAGACCCAGGACTTAAAGCCAAGTCCTTCATCCTCACCTATAAGACAAGGGAGGAAAGGAAGCCTGGATTATCCAAGCACGTGACCTATTCCAAAAGCCCATTTCAACTTGAGTAGTTAATCTGTCCAAGAAACTATATAAAGATGCAAATAAAGATTCATATACACAGGGAGTCATCCTTCAGTATCTCCCACAGGGCTTCCTCCTGATTCCTTGAATACTCAATACCCATTCATATGGAGGGAGGGAGGGAGGGAGAGAGAGAGGAAGAGAGAGAAACAGGGAGAGAAAGAAACAGAGAGAGGAACAGGGAGAGTCAGAGAGACAGGGAGAGAGAGAGAAAGGGAGAGTCAGAGAGACAGGGAGAGAGAGAAAGAGAGAGACAGAGAGACAGGGAGAGAGAGACAGAGAAACAGGGAGAGTCAGAGAGAGAGAAAGAGTGAGAGACAGAGAGACAGGGAGAGAGAGACAGAGAGAGAAACAGGGAGAGTCAGAGAGAGAGGGGGAGAGAGATAAAGAGAGACAGAGAGACAGGGAGAGAGAGAGACAGAGAGAGAAACAGGGAGAGTCAGAGAGAGAGGGAGAGAGAGAGAAAGAGAGAGACAGAGAGACAGGGAGAGAGAGACAGAGAGAGAAACAGGGAGAGTCAGAGAGAGAGGGAGAGAGGGAAAGAGAGAGAGACAGAGAGACAGGGAGAGAGAGAAATAGAGAGAGTCAGAGAGAGAGGGAGAGAGAGAGAGAGGGAGAGAGAGAGAGAGAACCTCCAGCTAAACCCGGATCCACTTGACCTTCATTTCACATCACTCAAATTCCCAAATTATTTCCCATCTGCAGCTTCTCTCAAGTGGGCTCAAGTACTGTGCCTTTGACACAGCATGTTGAGCTCTGTGTGTGGGGCCCAGATTCATATTCAGTTCCATTAAATGCAGCTAGCTCAGCCCATTCAGTTGTCAAAGAAGCTGTCAGGGCAGGAACAGTGACCACACCATGGGGCGTTGGTTTGAGGCCAGGTCACTATGCAGTCATTCCATGGCATGGGAGTTCTCACTACCCCTGTGGCTCTGTCAGGATGGCTACAGGAAGACACCGTCCCCACGGGGTTTCAATTCCAAAGGCTGCGAGATTCATCTAGCAGTTCAGGATGTGATTGACCTGGGATCTTCCACCCATCATGGACGTTCGGAGTCAGTGGGGGAGGGGTTCGGTTTTCAGCATGTGTTGAAGCAGTGTAGTGATCCATGAGTGCTGCTAGGATAAGAACCCACAGACGAGGAAGCCATGAAGGATGGGAAGCCATAGGAACACACAGCCCACAGGGGGTCCTCAAAGATCTCTAGACACTGAACTGAATCAGAGACAGAGTGGGGCAAACCACAGACTCTCCAGGCCTCCGGGTGCCCCTGCTCAGTCTCGGGCTGGGGAAGATGGCTCAGTGGGTAAAGCACTTGCCACACAAGCATGAGGTCCTGAGCTCAGACCCCTAGCACCCATGTAAAGCCAGATGTGGTGATGTGGTCTGTAGTCCCAGCACCTATGTAACCCAGATGCAGTGGTGTGGTCTGTAATCCCAGCAATCCTACTATGAGATGGGAGATGGGGAGTGCCTACAAGTTTTGGGCCAGCTAGCCTGGGGTACACAAGAGGAAACGAGGGACCCTGTTCAAAACTAAGTGAAAGGCAAAGACTCAACCTGAGGGTGTCCTCTGACCACATGGTATATGCCACCAGACATTACACACACACACACACACACACGCACACACACATGCACGCGTGCACACACACACACACACACACACACACAGATTTTAAGAAAGAAAGAAAAAGGAGGCGAGCTGTGTGATTAATTCATCCCTGTGCGCTTGGGGCTGGAGTGGAGTAAAAGAAAACTGAAGAAGTCAGTGCACTAATCACCCAGTAACCTGAGCGTCTCAGCGGACGGCCAGAGAGCTAGACCCTGAAGGTGCAGCCACCACCTAGCCCTGTGCCTTACAGCACCACAGGCACACCCCTCTGACAGGGCTTCGAATATGCCAGCCTTCCGTTTGATGTTTTATTTACACGGTCTAGTGAGTTCCAATGCAGCCTAGCAGGGCTCCTCACTCAGCTGTTACCCAAGGGTATGAGTGAGCCCCTTAGGAGACTGGACCTGTTCTCTACAGGAAACTGTCCCTGGATTCCCTAGATGCCCTGTTTGTCCTCCTCCTCCTCCTCCTCCTCTT